CCCGCCGCCGCCGCCGCCGTCGCGGAGATCGAGAGACTACGCGCTGAGGTGGCGTCCACGAAGGCGTCGTTCGAGGCGAAGCTGATGGACGCGCTCAGGGACGCCAACACGTCCGCGTCGGTCCTAGCGGTGACGGAGAGAAACCTCGCGGAGGCGCGGTCCGAGCTCGACGAGACGAGCAAGGAGCTCGCGCGGGTCCGCGCGGACTGGCACGACGACCGAAAGCGCATCGAGAAGAACAACAAGGGACACGCGCTGCGCGTCGCGGCGCTGGAGAAGGAGCTCGTGGACGCGAAGATCCGCGCGAACGACGCGGAGAAGGGAGTCCAAGAGCAACTCGGCGCGTTGGGTGCGTTCTCCTTACACTGGTTCCCATACGACCGCGTTGGCGTGGTGAACGCCGATCCTTAAGGACTTTGCTCCCCGGCGGCGTCTCTCTCCGCCCACCCCTCGCTTTCAATCCCCGACACACCGCGACGCCTTTCAACTCCGCTTCTGACGCCTTTCAACTCCACCCCGACGTTCGCTCGTACGGAACGACCCTCAGTCAAGAAAAACCTCGCGACGCGGGCGGAGAACGAGAAGCTCTCGGCGGCGCTCGCCGAGGCGAACGATCCGCTCGAGAAGGAGAAGAAAGAGTTCGCGGCGATGTCCGCGAAGCTCGCGTCGAAGCTCGCGGAGCAGTCCGCGCTTCGAGACGCGGACGAGAAGGCGCTGGCGGAAGCCAACGAGAAGACGAAAAAGGCGGAGAGCGAGGCGCGTTCTGTTCTCCTCACACTGGTCCCCATACGACCGCGTCGGCGTGGTGAACGCCGTTCCTTGAGGACTTCGCTCCCCGGCGGCGTCTCTCTCCGCCCAGGGTCCTTCGCTCACAATCCCGACACCCCTCGACGCCTTTCAACTCCGCTTCTGACGCCTTTCAACTCCACCCCGATATCATCGCTCGTACGGACCCTCGACCCCAAGGCGAAGACGCTGCGCGGCGCGGTGGAGGATCTGAAGCAGCAGGTGGCCGCGCACGCCAAGAAGAAGCAGGAGCTCGTGGAGGCGACCAAGACGCTCGAGGCGATCGAGACGAGACTTCTCGCGTCGGAGCGCGCGCGCGACGACGCGCTCGCGAGAGCGGAGACGGCGACGAAGGCTGCCGACGCGTCGGCGGCGCGTTTGGCGACGCTCCAACGCGAGCTCGAATCGCTCCGGAGGGACCTCGACGCCGCGCGAAGCGTCGGCGGCGCGGCGTCCGCGGCGGCGGCGAGAGAGACCGAGGCGCTCGCGAGGGCGACGGACGCGCGCGACGCCATGACGCGCGAGAGGGACGAGGCGATCGCGCGAACGCGCGAGCTCGAGGGCGCGATCCGCGAGAGGGACGACGCGACCGCCGCGCTCGCGGAGACGCGGGGGGAGCTGGACGACGCGCGGCGATCGCTCGCGGCGGCGGCGAATCAGGTGCGTTCTAGTATCGCACTGGTTCCCACACGAACGCGTTGGCGTGGTGAACGCCGATCCTTAAGGACTTTCTCTCCCGGCGCATCTCTCCGCCCAGGGTCCCTCGCTTTCAATACCCGCCCGCGACGCCTTTCAACTCCGCTTCTGACGCCTTTCAACTCCACCTGTGGAACGACCCTCAGGCGGCGGCGCTCGCGGACGCGACGCGCGCGAGGGATAAGGCGGAGAGCGAGCTGCTTCAGGCTGCGAAACTCGCCGCGGAGACGGAGAAGCGGTTGCGGAGAGCCGAGGAGGTGGCGTCTTCCGCCAAGGCGGAGCTTCGCGACGCGGAGACGGCGGCGGCGAGGGTCGCTGAGAGTCTCGAGAAGGACCTTCTCGACAAGAGTCGCGCGCGGGAACGCGCGCTCGAGACGCGCGCGGCCGCGCTCGAGACGGCGTCGAACGACGCGAGAGCGGCCGCGGCGGAGAGCGCGGCGGCGTTGGATAAGGCGCTGGAGGAGAAAACGGCCGCGGAGGAGACGTTACGGTCCAAGCGACGCGGCGACGACGCGATGCTCGCGCGGCTCGCCGCCGCGGAGACGGAGCTCGAGAAGACGAAGAGCGAGCTCGCGGCGACGCGAACCTCCGCGGCGTCCGAGTCGAGCACCGCGACGAAGGAGGAGTACGCGAACAAGATTGCGTCGCTGCTCGTGCAAGCGACCGAGGCGGAGCGCGCGAGGGACGAGATGACGGCGGCGGTGGATAAGGAGCGACGACGCTTCGAGGAGGGCAGGCGAAGAGCGCGGGAGATGCTGGAAGAGAAGGACCGCGCGATCGACGCGCTGCGCTCGCGAAGCGCCGCGGCGGCGACGTCGACGCCGTCGCCGTCGCGCGACGACGACCCGTTTTTCGGCGACGGCATCACTCCGACGGCATCGGCATCCCTCCCGGGAACGACAACGTCCGCGGCGACGGCCGGCGTCGGGGCGTCTTCCGCGAGCAGCAGCGCGTCCGAGGGCGGCGCCGGCGCGAAAGTCGTCGCGACGGCGACGGCGACGGCGTTCGACGACGCGCGCGCGGAATACGCGCGGAACGTCGTCAAGAAGTACCTCGTCACCGACAACTGGCTCGCGCAGGACGCGCTCGTGCCGGTGATGACGCGGGTTCTCGGATTTTCCGAGACGGACATCGCGGAGATCACGAGACGACGCGTCGCGATGACGCCGATCGACGCGCAGCTCGCCGCCGCGTTGGACGCGGGGTTCGGCGTCATCGACGCGGCGAGCGCGTCGTTGCGCGTGAGCGTCGGCGTCGGCGGTCGCGCGGCGGCGGTCGCGGCGCCCGCGGCGGCGGCGCCCGCGGCGGCGCCGCAGGTTGGGAGTTTAGCCCCCGGGTTGAGCGAGAACCAAGGAGGGGGGAGGTAGCGGGCGCCCGCCGACGCGACTGGTTACGAGTATTATGAAAGAGAACGCCGCGGTGATGATGATGATGCGCCGTCGAAGCGGTAGTAAATTAAAAAATGACATCCAGTCGTCGCCTGGTCAGTCGGCGCCGCCCTCTCGTCCCGCGCGATGGACCTGTCGACCGCGACGAAGCTCTACGGTCCGCACTCGCGCGCGCTGCGCATCCGCGCCGTCGCCGCGTGGGCGGGCGTCGACGTCGAGAGCCACCGACCGTTCACGGAGGGCGTCACGAATCGCACGTCGTGGTTTCTCGAGAAGAGCCCGCTCGGGACGACGCCGCTGCTGGAGACGAGCGACGGGACGTGCGTGTTCGAGTCCGACGCGATATGCCGCTTCCTCGCCGCGAAGTGCGGGAACGCGCTGTACCCCGCGAACGACGACGCGGTCAGGGCGCGGATAGACGAGTGGCTGAGATCGTTCGACGCGCTCGACTGCGTGGGGCCAGGGTGGCTGTACCCGGTCCTCGGCATCGGCGCCGACCGAGGCATCGCGTTCGACGCCGTCAAAGAGCGCGACGCGAAGAGGACCCTCCGCGCGTTCCTCGGCATACTGCAGTCCCACTTCGGCGAGGGCGGCGTCCCGTTCTCGTACCTCGTCCGCGCGGAGATCTCCCTCGCGGACGTCGTCGGCGCCGCGCAGGCGCGTTCGTGTCGATGTCGATTTCGTTTATTCGTTTGATGCGCGTTTCGTGTTGTGTTTCGCCCGCCCCTTCCTTTCAACGTGCGCTCGCGCCCCCTTTCGACTGACCGATGCGCACGATCGCACGCGCACAGCTGGCGACGCCGTACGCGAATCTCCTGTCGCCCGACGACTGGGCGCCGTTCCCGGACGCGCTTCGCTGGCTCGAGCGAGTCGTCAACCACCCGACCTGGATCGCGGCGCTCGGAAAAGTCCCGAAGTGCGCGACGCCGCTGACGCGCGCCGCGCCCGGCGCCGACGTGCCCGTCGCGGCGTGGCCTCCCGAGCTCGCGGAGATGCGACGCGAGACGGACGAGCGGCTGAGGCGAGCGTCCGAGGCGGCGCGGCTCGCCGCCGCGAAGGACGCCGCGTGCGAGGACAGCACGAAGAGATTTTTCAGCGCGATTCCCGTGATCGACGTGTCGTCGTTGTGCCGCCGCGCGGCGGCGGAGGGAAGCGAAGGAAGCGAAGAAGCGTCGTGCGCGTCGTGCGCATCGAACGCGTCGGATCGCGCGGCGGTGCTGAAGACGTCGCGCGAGCTCGCGGACGCGTGCAGGGACGTCGGATTCTTCTACGCCGTCGGACATGGCGTCGACGCGACCGTGTACGACGGCGTCCGCGACGCCGCGCGCGAGTGGTTCGACCGACCGCTCGAACACAAGTCGCGTCACGCCATCACGCCGGAGAGCGCTGGACGCGGGTACCAGCCGCTCGGCGCGAACGTGACGCGGCACGAGCGCGGGTTCGCGCGGGACTGGCACGAGGCGGTGGACGTGTACAAAGACTTTGAAGAGAACGATCCGGACGTCCTCGCGAAGAAGCCGCTGCACGTGCCCAATCCGAGGTTGACCGACGCGGCGGCGTTCGAGGGCGCGCTGCGGGCGTGGAGAGACGAGGCGCTGCGCGTCGGCGCGGAGATCTTGCGGGGCATCGCGATCGGGTTGGGGCTCGACGATGACTTTTTCGCGAGAGAGACGACGGCGAGCGATCCGTTTTTCGTCATGCGAGCGATCCGGTATCCCCCGCTGCCGACTACGACGGCGGCGGCGGAGGATCGCGCCGACGACGACGACGCGGCGGCGGCGGAGACGACGACGACGACGGGGGCGAACGCGCACGCGCACGCGCACGCGATCGCGGCGCCGAGCGAGACGGACGTCGTCGCCGCGAAGCGCGGCGACGACCTCTCCAAAGCCGTCCCGATTTCTTGCGGCGAACACTGCGATTACGGCCTCCTCACGCTCGTGAACCAAGACCCGGGGGTGCGCGCGTTACAGGTTAAAAACGCGCGCGGGGAGTGGGTCGACGCGCCGCCGATCGAGGGCGCGTTCGTTTGTAACATCGGCGACATGCTCGAGCTCTACACGAACGGCGTGTGTCGCAGCACGACGCACCGGGTGCTGATGCCGTCGGCGGAGGAGGCGGCGGACGGCAGAATCTCCGTCCCGTTCTTCTTCGAGCCAAACTTCGACGCGATCGTGTCGCCGTTGGCCGCCTTCGGCGACGTCCACGAGAAGTACGCGACTCCGGTGAAGTACGGCGAGCATCTGCGTCGTAAAATAGAGGCGAACTTCGAAACGGATCGCGTCACGATGCGCGCGCGCGAGTCCTAGTAGCGCTAGTAGTATAGCGTTGTGATTAGTACAACTACCTTCGTTGAAACTACGAGCTTGGCGTTTTCGTCGGCGATCACGAACCGACGCCGCAGGATACCGCCAAGGGCTGCGTGATCTCCCCCGTCAGCCCCCACGCGTCGTCGTGCGCGTCGTCGCCCTTCCAAAACAGGTGCCACGCGTACACCTTCGTCGCGCCGTCCGCCATGACCTCCAACGACTTCGCCCCTCCCGTACCCAACGCGTCGGACAAAAATTCATCCTCTAGCGCCCCGACGCGTCCCGAGCCTTTAAACCGTAACGCACCAACACCGCGCGTTTCGTTTCCGTTTCCGTTTCCGCTCTCGTCAGCATTCGGCATCCTCTCCGTGAACACCGACCGTCGCAGCGCGAACGACGCCATGTCCATCGCGTACGTCCGCCCGCCGCACCACACCGTGTGGAACCCGGCCGCGCCGCCGCCGCCGCCGCCCGCGACGACGACGCTCTCGACGCGCGCGCCGTCCTCGCCCCTCCACTTCCTCGGAGGAAACCCCACCGGCCACGTCCCGACGCGTCGCACGCTCGCGATCTCGTCGAACAGCAGCGGGTCGTACTCGTTATCGTCGTCCGCGAAGTACACCACCGGGTCCGACGCGTCGAACTCCGACGCGTCGTCGGGAAAAAAACCAGAGGCGTCCACCGCGGCGAAGAAGCGCGCGTCGTCCGTCAGAAAGTCGATCGCCGCGTTCCGCTCGTTCCATCCGACGCGCGTCGTCATGCTCAGCGGGGTCGACGAGGCGGCCGCGGCCGGCGGCGGCGTCGTCGTCGTCGTGAGCGTCAGCGCGTGGAACGCGGAGTCGTGGCGGTCAGAACACGGAGGCACGCGCGCGTGCACGTCGGAGGACTCAGGGTCGTTCCATACGAGCGAACGTCGGGGTGGAGTTGAAAGGCGTCAGGTGGATTTGAAAGGCGTCGAGGGCGGGGATTGAAAGCGAGGGGTGGGCGGAGAGATGCGACGGCAAAAGTCCTTAAGAAACGGCGTTCACCACGCCGACGCGATCGTATGGGAACCAGTGTATAGAACGCACCTCGCTCGAGACGAGGACCCACACGAAGCGGTGGCGTCGACCCGCGCACATCGCGCTCCGAAGGCGAAGGAGCGCGTTCGCCTGCGGCGGCGACGCGGCCGAAGCGCGCGCGTACGTCGGCGTGATCATCACGATCAGCGGGCGTTTGATCGAGGAGGAGGAGGAGGAGGAGGAGGAGGAGGAGGAGGACGGCGGATACGAGAAAAATCGAGCCGCGCCTCCCGACCGCGCGAACGCGGCCGCGGTCGCGACGACGACGACGAGCGCGAGGACGCACGCGAGGACGCCGCGGAACCGCGCGCGTCGCGAGGACCTCGGCGTCATGCCCGAGCCGCTCGCGCCGCGCGGACTGCGGTCGAGTTGGAAGAGACGAGACGTCGCGTTTGAGGTGACCGCTCGGCTCCTCTTCTATCTTCTTCCGAGGAAATTTTTCTGAACGTCCTGTCGTCTCTGTTCGAATCGCGTTTCAACAGACGCCGCGCTCGAGGCTCGCGCTCTTTACCGTCGCCGCCCCTCCCTCGCGCGTCGTCTCGCACGCGACGTCCCTCCTCGCGTCCGCTCGCGGGTCGGACCACGCGCACCGAGCGCACGAGGGAGAGAAAGAATACGAATCGTCGAGGGAGGCGAATCGTCGCGGCGTCGCCGTCGCGTCGGCGACGCCGTCGTTTCGCTCCAAGTGGTCGATCAACGCGCTCAAGAACCGATCGAAATCGACGCCCTCGTCGATCGACGACGCCCCATCTCTCGATCGAACGCGCGCGATGAACGGGTGCGTCGAAGCGTCGTTCACGTTCAGAACGTTCGCGACGACGTCCAGGACGAGCGCCATCGGCAGCGTCGCTCGGCCGCCGCCGGCTTCGCTCGCGCCGCCGCCGCCGCCGCCTCCGCCGCCGCCGCCGCCGCCGCCGTCGCCGCGCCAGCGCGCCAAGAACTCATCCTCCCAACGCGTCGTCCCCATCAGCTCTCGCGCGCATCGAACGACCCTCGCGAGCGCGTCGAACGCGTCGGAGGACAAGTGCGCGGACGCGCCGCCGCTCGAGAGGCCGCAGAAGCGCGCGAACAGCTCGCACTTCGCGTCGGTCGGTCGGTGGCGCGAAGCGTCGGCGAAAAACGCCGCCGACGCGAGCACGTCGTCCGCGTTCGCGGGGGTGCCTACTCGCTTCGGGGGTGCCGACTTGGCGTTCCACGCGCGCACCGCGCGCGCCAGGCACGCGAACACGGTCTCGTCGTCGCCGCTGTCGCCGCGGTGCGCGTCTCTGCCAAAGTCGGCACCCTCGGAGGCGAGATCTCCCGCGCTCGGCGCCCCGGACGCGATCCCGAGGCTGTCCACGCGTGCGAGGTACGTCTCGACGATCAACGCGCGGACGACGGACGCCGGCGCGACGTTTGAGATCTGAACCGTCGCGACGCCGCCTCGACTCGAGAGCGACGGCAACCGCCGCGCGCGCTCGACCCAGCGCTGAAGGCGGGCGTCCGCGCACTGCGTCGCCGCGTCCGAACGGTTTTTAAACGCGATGAGTTTCGGATCCCACGCGGTTCGCATCGCGGAAACGCGTCGCGCGCCGGCGGCGGCGGCGGCGACGTCGGCGCGGAGCGACGCCGCCGCGTCCGCCGCCGCGGAGATGGACGATTTTTCGCCCCACGTCGCGACGCACAGGGCGTCGAGGAAGTGCTTCTCGCGTCGCGTCGCGTCGCGGAGGAGGGTCTCGGTGTATCGTAACGCTTCAATCTCGGACGTTAACGCCGCGCGACGCAGCGCCGCGCAGCGCCGCGTCAACGCCCCGACGGAGATTTTCCGTTTCGTCTCCGCCGCGATTCGCGCGCGCAGCGCGTCCACGGTCGGTCGCAGCACGTCGTCGCGCTCGCGCTGCAGCGTAACGCACTCTTCGCGCGCGTTTTCGGTCTCCAGACGCGACGCGCGGAGCTCGTTCGAGAGTCGCTCCGTCGCCGCCGCCGCCGCCGCCGTCGCGTCCCGCAAAACCTGGAGCGCGTCTCGTGTCTCGCTCAAGTCGCCTTCGCGCGCGCGCAAGAGCTCGCGCAACCCCGGAACTTTGTCCGCCTCCGCCGTGAGTCGCTCGATCGCGCGCTCGTTGGACGTCACGACGCCGACGAGCCGCCGGCGTTCTTTCTCGAGGTCGTCGCGTTGTTTCGTCGCCGCGGCGGTCTCTTTCAGGGCCGTTCTATAAGCGAAAGTCGGGGTGGAGTTGAAAGGCGTCAGTTGGAGTTGAAAGGCGCCGAGGGCGGGGATTGAAAGCGAGGGGTGGGCGGAGAGACACGCCGGGAAAAGTCCTTAAGGATCGGCGTTCACCACGCGAACGCGGTCGTATGGGGACCAGTGTATAGAACGCACCTCAGAGTCGCCGCGACGTCTCGCTTCACGGCGTCCATCTCTTCGAGGCGTTCGCGCAGCGTCGCGATCGTCGCCTCGCGTTCGCGCACCTCTGCCCTGGCGGCGGCTTCTTTTCTCGAGACGGTTCGTATCTCCTTCTCGAGGTTCTCGCGGCGTTTCGTCTCCTCCTTCGAAGCCGCCGTCGACGCCTCGACCTCCCACGTCAGCTTTTCGTTGCGCACCTTTTCCTCGAAGAGCGCGGCGTCCGAGCGCGCCTTCGCCTCGGTCTCAGCCCCCAAACGCACGTGTAACCCATCTTTTTCGTGCGTTAAAAGATCAATCTCCACAGAACTCGACTTCAGACGCTCGGACACTTTGCGCATCAACGCGACGCCCGCGCGAACGCTCGAACGGAGCTCTTCCGTGGACGACGACGTCGCGGACTCGGGATCGACGACGACGCCGTCGGCGAGATCCGCGGCGAGGACGCCGTTCGCGATCTCCTCTGCACTCCGCACGTCGCTCGCGAGCGTCGAGACGACCGTCGCGACGGTTCGTATCTCTTGTGATAACACCTCGTTTATGGACGTTACTCTTGTAACCGTCGCGTTCGCGTCGGCCAGCGACGCGGCGAGCGCGGCGCCGCGGGAAGCCGCCGTCTTCGCCGCCGCCGCCGCGTCTTCTCGCGTCTCCTCCAGCTCCTCGCGCAGCGCGGTGACGTTCGTTCGCTCCGTCGCGAGGTCTTTACGTAGGCGATCTCGCTCGTCGTGAAGTAGAAAACGCTCGTGTTCCGTGCGTTTAAGCGTCGTCTCGAGCGTTTTCATCGCGCCCGCGTTTCGCGTCAACGCGTCGTCCCTCGACGCGATCGTCGCCGCCGCCGCTCTCGCCGCCTCGTTCAAGCGCTCGATCGCGGCTCTCGCGTCGGTCAGCTCTGCGGTCAACGCTCTCGCTTCATCGCGCGCTGTCGCGAGCGCGTCGTTCGCGTCGTCGAGCTCGCGACGCGTCAAATCGTATCGCGTCGTTTCGTGTTCCAGCGCCGACGACAACGTCTCGACCCGCGATCGTTCCGCGGAGAGGTCGTCCATCGCGCGGCGTCGCTCGCGCCGTTCCACGTCTAACTCCCGTTCAATGAGGGTTATTTTCGAGCGCGCGGACGCGAGATCCCGCCTCGCGCTCTCGACCTCGTCGTCGCGGCGTCGCCTGAGCGCGGTCTCCGCCCGCGCGGTCTCCGCGGCGTCCGCGGCGGCGCGCGTCGCGTCCGCCGCCGTCGCTCTCAGGGTCGTTCCATACAAAAACGGTTCATCGGTCAGTTGAAAGGGGGGGGCGATCAAATGTTGAAACCGAGCGATGGGTGACAAACGTTTGTATAGAACGCACCTCAACCCGAGCGCCTCTCTCGCCGCCGCCGCGCGCGCCTTCTCCCGCCGTAACCGCTCCTCGTCGAGGCGACCCACGGCCTCGTCGCGCTCTATGGTGACGGTTCGTATCCGAGCGTTACGATCGTCGAGGTCGCGCTTCAACGCGTGTCGATCGAGGTGCGTGTCGTGTATTTGCGTCTCGTAAATCGTCGCCGCGCGGAGTTCGACGAGGAGAAAAAAGCCGTCCCACACGCGACGAAACGCGTCGCTCGTCTCTTTGCAGCGCGCCTGCGGTGATCGATCCGACGGGCGCGGCGGCGTCGGTCAGTCGAGGTACATTTGTAGGTTGAAACCAGAAGGGCACGACGATCACGTCGGGTGAAGAACAGAAACGATAGGGCGCGCGCGAGCACCGACCGAAGCGAAGCGCACGAGCTCTTCGAACGCGACGCGGTGGATCCACATCGCGGCTTCAGCGAGGTCGTCCGACGACGCGCCGCCGGCTTCGCCGTCATTGGTCCACGTCGCCGCGTGCGCTGACGTGTCGTCGCGTGATTCGTCCTTGAAATCGCCATCGACTTCGCGAAGCATCTCGCACATCCATCGCTCGACGAGCAACACGTCCGCGCGCCGATACGGTCTTGTTGACGCGTCGGCCGCGGCGTCGTCGCCGCCGTCGCCGCCGTCGTCGTCGCCGCCGTCGTCGCCGCGCGGGAACGCGACGCGCGTCCACGCGCCGCTCGCCTCGTCGAACGCGCTCCCGGGGACGCGAAGCGGCGAGCGCTCGACGAAGCGCGTGAGCCGTCGCACGAGCGTCGGCGCCGCGCGCTGCCGCCGCCGCCGCGACGACGGCTCCGACGACGACGACGACGACGACGACGACGACGACGACGACGGCGCCTCCCCGCCGGCAGTCCCGAGCGGCGCGTCCGCGAGCGCGTCGGCCGCGGCGCGTCGCCGCGCGAGCTCGCGCGTCAGCGAAACGCGCAGCGCCGCGACGCGACGCTCCACGGCGACGATCGCGCGGCCGCGACGCGCGGTCGCGTCGCGTCGCGCGTCGGGGGACGCGTCGTCCGCGCGACGAACCGAGCGGTCGACGGTTCGCGGGGCCCAGGGGGTGATGAGATGGACGAGATCCGACGACGACGACGCGTCGCCGTCGCCGTCGCGCGCGTCGTCCGCGCCGCGCGGCCAGCGCGCTGTCGCGCCGCGCGGCGCGGGTTTCGGCGACGGCTTCGGGGACGTCGACATCGACAGCGCGGGAGGCGACGCCGCGGCCGTCGTCGCGACCGCGCGCGGCGAGATGTGATGATGAAAGAGGCGCGACGTTTCGTATCTCATTTTTCTGCTATTTTTGGACCCGCCGTCGCGTCGCGTCGGAACCGCTACGGTAGACTATCGTATCGTATCGCGCTCGCGCCGCCTCGGCGAACGCGCCCGCGAGCTAATACACCAAGAACGTTCCGTCCTCGTCCCCGCACGTCCTGAGCGCGAGGTCGCGTCCCGCGTCCGTCGGTTGCGTAAACGCGCACAGCCGCGGCGACAGCACGCACCCTGGGGTGAACCTGGGTGAAGAAGACGCGCTTCGTCGGTCAGTTTGAAGCCGGGGTGGGGTGAAACGAGCGAACGAGCCGACGCGCGAAGGAGGGAGGGAGGGAGGGAGGGAGGGACCCACCGTCTTCGCGCCGTCTCGAGAAGCTCGGTCGCGACGCCCTCGCGGCGGTGCCCCGGGTGGACCCACACCGCGCGCACGCCGCAGGCAGCCTTGACGCGCTCCCTCTGGCAGCGGAGGACGCCGCGCGGGGACGCCGCGGAAGTTTCGGCGGCTTTCGTCGTCATTCTCTCCGCGTCCTCCCCGCGACGATCCGTCTTCACTCCTCCTCCGTCCGGTAACGTCCGCCTCGCGTGCGTTATCGGTTCCGCGAACAGCGCGCCCACGATCCGATCCCCCCCGCCCGTCGACGCCGCCGATGCCGACGAACCCCCGCCTCTGACTACGCACAAAAACGCCTTCAGCCCTCTCCCGCTAATCGCGCCGGCGCCGGTCCGCTCGCCGTCGCCGTCGACGATCCAACCGGGCGACATCCCCAACGCCGTCTCCACCTCCGCGGCGACGTCCTTGACCTTCCCCCACCGCTTCGCGTGGTCCGACGCGACGCACTTCACGATCCACCGGTCCTTCCTTTGGGAGACGTGCGCGGCGTCGGAGAGGCCCCAGTTTTTCGGGCACGCGACGCCGCCGCCGACGACGGCGGATGGATCCCCGCCCGCGACGGCGACGCCTCGAGACGCGAGAAAGCGCGCGTGGTAGGCGTCGTGCGTGCGCTCGTCCGCGGGCTCGCCCTTGGCGTACAGCAGCCCACACGTCGCGCACGTGACGTGCCCGAAGTTCTTCTGGCCGAGGTCCAAGAACAGCTGCTTCATCATCGGCGCGGACGCGGCGGACGTCGACGCGATCGTCGAGGAGGTCGTCGTCGTCGTCGTCGTCGTCGTCGTCGTCGCGTCCGCGTCCGCGTCCGTCGCGCGCTCCGTCGCCGCGACGTCGGCGTCCACGCGGCGACGCCTGCGCTTGTACACGACCGCGCCGCCGCGTTTGTCGTCGTCGCCGCTCCACGCCGGCGGCGGCGGCGGCGCGCGCGCGGCGCGCGCGCCCGCGTCCTCCTCCTTCTCGTTCGTCGTCGTCGTCGTCGTCGTCGTCACGTCGGACGCGATCGCGTCGCCGGGCGCCGCGTTCGCGACCCTCGGCGCGAGCGCCTCGGACGCGACGCCCGCGCCGACGCGGAAGAACGCGTTTATCGGCCGCTGCCCCGCCGCGGTCGACGGCGCGACGGGCATCGCGGCGCGCGCGGCGCGCGCGAGGCGAGTGCCGCGCCCGATTTTGAAATGTCTCGCGACGACGACGACGACGCGACGAGCGCGACGAAAACGAGAGCGAAAATCATCATCGTCCAGGCAACACCCCGCGTCACACGTCGCCGCGCCCTCCTCGGCGCCGGACGACCGCGTCCCTCTCGCCGCCAAACCAAACCAACCCAAACCCTAAATCCTAAACCAAACCTAGATGGTCGCCGTCCTCGCCGTGCTCATCGTCGCCGTCGCCGCGTCGTGCGTCAACGTCGGCAAGGCGCTGCAGAAGCAGGGCACCAAAAGCCTCCCTCGAGAGATCTCGCTCGTGACGCTCCCGACGTACCTCGCCGACGCGACGTGGCGGCGAGGCCTCGTCCTCGATATCTGCGGCGGACTCCTCATGGTCGTCGCGCTCGCGATCGCGCCCGTGTCGCTCGTGCAGCCCGTCGCGAGCGGCGGCGTCGCCGTCCTCGCGGTGTATTCGCACGTCCACCTCGAAGAGAAGCTCGCGACGGTGCGTTGTATACACTGGTCCCCATACGACCCCGTCGGCGTGGTGAACGCCGTTCCTTAAGGACTTTTCCCGGCGCATCTCTCCGCCTAGGGTCCCTCGCTTTCAATCCCCGCCCTCGGCGCCTTTCAAGTCCACCTGACGCCTTTCAACTCCACCCCGACGTCGCTTTGTAGCGCGAGTGGGGCGGCGTCGTCGCCGCGGTGATCGGCACCGTAGGGCTCGGGTTGTCCTCGGAGGCGCAGCCGACGGAGGCGATGTCCACGGGTCGCGTGCTGTTCGGCGCGGCGGTCGTCGCGGCGGCGGTTCGCGCGCCGGGGTGGCTCGTCGCGGCGAGGGCGGCGAGGAAGAGGACGCGCACGCAACACAGGGGCGGCGTCGGCGGCGCGAAGACGGCGGGCGTCGTGGGCGGGGGGTCGCCGCATCACACGCTGAAATCGCACCCGTTGCATCCGGGAAGCAGAGACGCGGGCGTCTCGGGCGCGCGCGGGCGCGTCGAGGAGGTGGCGAGCGGCGCGCGCGCGGGGATGTTCTTCTCGCTGTCCGCGCTCGCGGTCAAGATCGGGTTCACGCTCCGCGCGAACCGGGGCTCGACGACGTATCTCGTCGTCGGATTAGGTGCGTTCTATACACTGGTTCCCATACGACCGCGTCGGCGTGGTGAACGCCGATCCTTAAGGACTTTTGCCGGCGTCTCTCTCCGCCCACACCTCGCTTTCAATCCCCGACGTCGATGCCTTTGAACGCCAACTGACGCCTTTGAACTCCACCCCGACATCGCTTTGTATGGAACGACCCTTAGCCGCGTCGGGCGCGTTGACGGCGCGCGGGTTGATATGCCAGACGAAAGGCCTCAAGGACGGCAACAGCGTCGTCGTGTGCACGTGCGGGAACGTCGCGCAGATGATAACGTCCGTGGTGCTCGGCGTTTTGGTGCTCGGCGAGCGGCTGCCGCTGTCCACGTGGGCGCGCTTCCGGGGGTGGGCGCTCTCGTGGACGCTCGTGTTGGTTGGCGTCGTCGTCATCAGGCGCGTTCGTATTCACACTGGTTCCCATACGACCGCGTCGGCGTGGTGAACGCCGATCCTTAAGGACTTTGCTCCCCGGCGGCGTCTCTCTCCGCCCACCCCTCGCTTTCAATCCCCGACACCCCTCGACGCCTTTCAACTCCGCTTCTGACGCCTTTGAACTCCACCCCGATATCATCGCTCGTATGGAACGACCCTCAGCGGCGTCGGATGGGACGACCTTCCCGCGGAGTTT